TAATTCAGAGACCACTGAAGTTTTCCTCTTGCAAAATGTTCTAGTCATTTTATCTGCGTCTTTTTGCAGTTTATTTTCATTTGCTCTTTTGTGCATTGCAGAAGAAAGCATAGCTTGCACAACTTTATGTTCTACTAAATCTTTTTCGTTCAAAAAGTCTCTTCAAGAAAAACCATTATTTTATAAAACCTGATTGATAAATATAGGACATTTATTAAAAAATATTAATATAAAAAGAAAAATTACGTTACCAGAACTGTTCTAGTACCGTAATTTTTCTTTTTATATTAATATTTTTCAATAAATGTACTATATTTACTGTTACAGTGAAAATAAATGAGGTCTTTCAATAAAAAAATATTCGACCATGACCATTTTGTCGCCAATTCCAAATTTAAAAGTTTTAGTCCAATTGGACATTTGGTGATAAATCGTTTAAAATTACAACACCGCTGATAGGAGCATACTCACTAGGGTGTTGCGAAATCTAAATATTTTTAAAATTGAATACTTGTGTATGGTAAAAATAAATATGTTTTGTAATTTTTTTTTTTTTTAATTTTCTTCCACCGCCCCAAAGCCATCTTAAATATAAAAAATATAATATTCAGACGGAGTTGGAAAACAGTTATGTTATTTTTAGCATAATTAACTTTTACAAAATAAATTTGATTTTCAAAAAAACAAGCTAAATGGAGGCCCCCGGTCAATTTAAAAATATAAATATTTTCATATATCAGATAAAGCGGGGATCCACCGACTTGGTTTCTTTTTTTTTTAATTCAAAGTGTTTAATTTTGGAAAACTTACTAATGTTCAATAAACATTTTGGTGACAAAAATAATGTAACGTTTTTAACTGTTTGTAGTGTGAATTAAAACACGCACTGGTTAATTAACGAACTAAACTATTTATTTAATAACTTAACTACACTTAAAACACTATAAAACTAACTAAACACTTAACTACTAATTATTTATATATCACTACTGTTCAAGAGTCTATTTATTTGCACTTATATTTATTTATTTCGACGCGAGTACCAAAACTTAACTGACTGCTCCATGCAGCGCCGTTCCTTATATATTCAGTGCCTACGTTCCCTAATATTCCAGCGAGCTCCACACAGCTCTAGATCGCTCGAGCGCTGGTTTGGCAAGGCGTAGGCTTCCGCCCACTTGCTAAAGTAGTCCATTACAACGAAGATGTATTTATTTCCAGATTCTGTTTCCGGAAATGGACCCGCTACGTCGATTGCAATTCTCTCAAATGGGCTGCCCACACTGTACTGTCGCATTGGGGCTTTTGGGCGCTTCTGGGTCCATTACTTGCCGCACAAACGGCGCACTTCTTGCACCATTCCTTCACATCTCGTTGGCTGTTGACCCAATAAAACCGTTCCCTAAGTCTTCCGAGCGTCCTGGTCACCCCAAGATATTCTCCTGTTTATCCTGTTTCTGGGGATTATTATCTGCTTCCGGTCTTCCCCCCCTTCTGGCGTCTCCAGAACGCGCTTTAGAAGCCCGTCACTTAAGATGATGGAATTCCATTGGGCCCAGTACGATTTCACATTCGGCGAATATTGGGCGACTTCCTGCCACGTTGGTTTATGGTCGTTCTTTTTCCAATCGATGATGAACTTCAAATCCGGGTTGGGTTGAACCTCAGCGGATTGCCAATGATCATCTACGATTGTAGTCCTACGAATATACACATCCTTTTCTTCGGCCCTATTTATTTTTCTAAATGAAGTCGGCGCCACCTGACTTTCTCTGCAACGACTTTGTATATGTCCCAGCTTTCCACATCTTCAACACCGGATTTCCTTCTTCTCTGGTAGATTATCTTTAAGGACTCGTCTGATTGCTTCAATTATACTAGGTTCCTCCTCCTTTTCTTCGACTCTTCTAATTCTAGGCTGGCTCCTGCAGCTCTCCTTTGCCGCCTCGAATTCCAAAGCTCAAGCCAATGCATCAACCAGTTGGCTCAGACGAGCCAATGTCAGAGCCTGTCGTGTTTCATTGTCCCGAAGTCCATCCAAAAAGGCTTGAACCGCTAATCGTTTCATAACGGTCGTTAGAGTAGCTGGATATGCTAGCCGGACCAAGCGTGCAATATCAGCCTCGAATTCCTGTAAAGTGTCGTTTGATTTCTGGCAGCGGTTCTTTAGTTGGGAATGGTAGACATGTTCCAAATGTGTCTGGCCATATCGCAGTTCCAGGTGTTTCACTAACGCTTCGTAATCTTATTGTTCGTTGGGAGAAAGTGTCTGCAAGATGTCGGTTGCATCTCCGCATAAGGTCCGCCACTTTTAAGTCCATTAACGCAACCATTTTCGCGAAGTTTTACACTAACCGCACTCCTGAAACCAATGTAACGTTTTTAACTGTTCGTAGTGTGAATTAAAACACGCACTGGTTAATTAACGAACTAAACTATTTATTTAAGAACTTAGCTACACTTAAAACACTATAAAACTAACTAAACACTTAACTACTAATTTTTTATATATCACTACTGTTCAAGAGTCTATTTATTTGCACTTATATTTATTTATTCCGACGCGAGTACCAAAACTTAACTGACTGCTCCATGCAGCTCCGTTCCTTATATATTCAGTGCCTACGTTCCCGAATATTCCAGCGAACTCCACACAGCTCTAGATCACTCGAGCGCTGAGTCACCGGCGATGACTCATCATTCCGAGATCCAGAGCCGTACTCGCTACAATATATATATTCTTAAATTCCTTCCAATGCCACAGAGCCATGGCAAACATAAAAATTATAATGTTTGAGCTGGAGCAAAAAACGGTAGTAATATAAATTTAATTTTTTTTTAGCCAATTTGGTTATTTTGAGCATAAGTAACTTTTACAAAGTTGAGCAATATAATTAAAAAAAAACAAGCGAAATGGGCGGACCCCCAGTCAATGTCTAATATGAAAATATTTGTATTTTTAAAATTGATCGGGGGGCCATTTAGCTTGTTTTTTTTTTAATCATTTTGGCCAATTTTGAAAAAGTTAGTTATAGACATAAAAAACCCTCGTCTGAATTTTATAATTTTTATATTTAGGATAGCTCTGGGGCGGTGGAAGAAATTAAAAATATATTTTTCTCCAAAATATTTATTTTTATCATACCCAAGTTTTCCACATACAGGCGTTTTCAATTTTAAAAATATTCATATTTCGCACCACCCTAATACACACCCTTGTGAATATATCTTGATACACACCCGACAGTTTGCGCTTTGCTGTAATGTTATGTTCGCGCCAGCTGGGTTGCCGAATCGGATTCATATCAGTTGCATCCATAGAAATAACACTGTGTTATTTCTATGGTTGCATCGCTAATATCTCCTTATTTACCACAAAATTTTATAAGTAGGTATATTATTTTCGCATAGGAGTGAATTCATATGCTTAATATAATAGCTGTGTTAGACTAGTATTTAGTATTCGCAAATTTGACCCTGTTTCTAGCTATTACAGGGAAATCGGCTGGCTCAACGAAAAAAAAAAAAAACTACTACATAGTTGCTGCTTTTTTCATAAAGTTATACTTCACAAAACACCACCTTATCTTTATAATAAAATAAGATACAGAAATGATATTCACAATATTAATGTCCGATTTAAAAATATTTTATCAATTCCCAAACACAAATCTGAAGCATACAAATCTTGTTTTTCATACCAATGCTGCTATACCTATAATAAAATTCCGGATTATTTAAAAACTTATAAACCTAATAAATTTAAGTCTGCTGTTATTAGTTAATTTTTATGGTTGAGTGGAAGAGCAGACACTTTAGTCTGAACTCTGCCTTTGACAAACTGTTATCTATTCTTTAGTGTTCATAGAATATTATTTAGTATACCTATGTAAAACAGTTTGCCAATAAAAGCATTTATTATTATTATTATTATTAATACTGGGATATATTGAAATAAGAGAAATATATTGGACAGAAATAGTAACTTTAGTAATTTTTTTCAACAAAAAGGGGAGGGAGGGAGGCCTGCAATAGTGATAACTTGGTATGAAACAGAATTCTTAAAATGAATGAAAAATGAAATAACAAATAAGTAGCTCCTCAGTACTAATAAAAAATGTGATAAAATTTCTGTGAATAATTTTTTAAGCTTGACCAAAGCTTATCCTTATATTTAATGTCTATTTCGTCACAAACCGCCTGAATAAAAACTGCTTCGTTATAAAACACATTGAAGTTTAGCATTACATATAAAAGAACGAGATGGCGCCGCTGCAGGCTATTGTTATTTTGCGCGTTACAAACAAGCAGCGTGTTTTTGAAGGTTATCTTTTGTCACGGTATTTACTCGGTAAGTATTTGCAGTATTTCATTTTCTTTTTTATGTAAAGTAAATCAATTTCTTTCTTTTTAATTAATGCAATGATTTATATGCATCTATTGTGTCACTTGAAAATTTGATTTTTCTTATTTTGAAAAATGTCTCCTTCTTCACATGTCTCTTTTGTCACGCTGCACTGCTACCGCTACGACTCTTTAAGCAAAACTTTACTGCTGAGACTAACATTAGAATTACAGTAGTTGCCTAAATAATAGTCACAATGGATATGAAAATGTGAAATATTTATTTTTTAGAGGTAGATGCATAGATAAAAATACTATGGCTACGATCACGGTTGTGATTTAAATATTTTACACTACTTAGTTAGTATTTCACGAAAAATAAAAAAGAGAAAAAGCTCTTTTGGTTGTAGTAAAAAAAAAACCAAGTCAAAAATTTTGCGCCCCTGAATATCTTAAAAAGCTTGCGCCCTGGGTCTATTGAGCCCAAAGCTTTTACACCCATAAGGTTAGGATATTTGTTTACAACGAAATTAATGAGTATTCAATTATAGGGCTTTGGCTTAATCTAATAAGATATTTAAATCGTTACAGTGACTTCTATTACAATAAAATCAAAAGTGTAAAAACCTGTTTGTTATAATTAATATTATGCCTACCTTCAATTAGTTTAATGAAACTTTCATTTAAAACACTGGAAATATGTTCTATAGTAGCTTGGTTTAACAAAACCAAAGACCAAACAATATCAAGCCAAATTAAGGGTTTACCAGCTTCTGATTGATTTAATTGGGGGATTAAAACCTAAAAAAAAATAAAATTGTTATAACAATAAAGTAAATAAAGTATAACCCATACTTTCACACATTTTTTATTGTATTATACACGGTGTTTCTTTTAACTTGAGACAGCTCAATATCTCGAGAAATACGCATTTCACGGAAAAATGTCTTAGATAAAAGGTTAATGTGACTAAAGGGGACATTATTTGGTGCTACCGCTAGCCACCCCCTACCCCTCCTTAAGGGTGAAACGGGGGGTAACTTTGGAAAGTCAAATGGAATGACCCGATTTTTTTCACAGAGTTTGGTAGTACATAAAAAAATAAATAACTTTTATTTAAAACTTTTTTCAATTTATCAACAGATGGCGCTGTAATTCAAAATTTAAGAAAAATGAGTTTCCTTGTAAAATGTATTATTTGAAACGTTTGAAAAACAAAAATTAACATTAACAACAATAGTCGGCTATGAAAAAAATTTATAACAAATGTTGATTTAATGTTAATTTTTGTTTTTCAAACGTTTCAAATAATACATTTTACAAGGAAACCCCTTTTTCTTAAATTTTGAATTACAGCGCCATCTGTTGATAAATTGAAAAAAACTTTCAAATAAAAGTTATTCATTTTTTTATGTACTACCAAACTCTGTGAAAAAAATCGGGTCATTCCATTTGACTTTCCAAAGTTACCCCCCGTTTCACCCTTAAGGAGGGGTAGAGGGTGGCTAGCGGTAGCACCAAATAATGTCCCCTTTGGTCACATTTACCTTTTATTTAAGACATTTTTCCGTGAAATGCGTATTTCTCGAGATATTGAGCTGTCTCAAGTTAAAAGAAACACCCTGTATATTTAAAAGATTTAGTTTACCAATATTAAATAATTTTTTTTAAACGTAGTCCAATGAAAAGGGAAAAGTTCTAAGTTTGTGACATATCATTTCAATGTGTGACATGGAGGAGAGGGTCCAATGTTGCAAAAAACCGTGACGTATTTTGTGAACGACGGGGTCGTAAAATGAAATACTATAATACATAATTACCTCAAATAATTTATCAGAATTTGAAGGGATGTGATTTAAAACTGCTAGAGTCATAAAAAGACTAAATACATCTTGCGGTCTGCAAATTGAATGCTGTTTTAAAATCCATTCACTCAGAGCATCTAAAAGAACTAAAAAAACAAAATTATAAATATAAATCTAAAAAAAGCAATTTAAACAACTTACCAACATTTTTATATTTTAAAAGTCCTACACTAGTCAAAATAGACCCAATAACAGCGCTTTTCTGAATGTTTCCTTCCAATTCAGCAACAACATCGTTTGAAATTTTGCTCAGTAAATTTTCATCCGGAAAGTTTAAATTTGATATACTAAACAACAAATCTGCGCTCTTCTTTAAATCTAACTTATCAGCACTTGCTGTAATATTATATGCAAGTGCCCTTAATAATAGGGTAGACCTTCTTTTCTTTTGAGATAAGGTGGTCATTACCTTTACCATTTGTGGTAAAGTTATGCTTGATACAAGCCTTGCAGCTTCATCGTCAGCTGTTACATTTAAAATGGTGGACAAATCTTCGCTTCTAGAAGGAATGTCGTATTTATTTGGTTTGGTATTTGCGTTTTTCGTCAAAATTTTACATAATCTTATGAAACGTGGATCCGCTTCAAATTCATTTAAAGCAACTTTTCCTGAAGATGTCCATTCTGCCAGGACAGACACAACCTAACAAAAATTATATTATTATACATTTGGGGGTAGAATAAGAAATAAGACTCTTATTTCTTATTTTCATGAACATGATCATTTTAAAAATTTCAAGCTCTGTTTCTGACGAACCTTGTAATATTCCCTATTTTTGCCGGCAATATACATTCTATATACAGGTTGTTACAAAATTAGCGGCCCAATGGGTAAAGGTGAATTTCTCTTAAAATTTCAATTTCAAAAATTTAATTTTTAAAATCTTTATTCTTAAATTATATTGTTTTCTATATGTCTCATTTTAAGCTCGCAAAACAAACATGCCAATAATACCAAATTGTTTACCAAACAAAAAAGTATACAAGTATTAATGTTAAATATATACTTGTATGTAAACTGCTGGCAAAAAAGGTATATTGGATATATATCCAATATACCTTTTATGCCAGCAGTTTACATACCAAGTTCCCAAACCGTTTGAGATATTTCTATGGAACAAAAACTATATTGTTTATATATGAATGTGTTTTAAAGTAGTAGTGGAAACACTGTCAACAAAAAGCCCCCCTAAAAATTCAGCCCTTCACCCTTGAATTTTAAATAGCACCCTGTATATTTAATTACATTTTCACAATTTAATACGATTTAAAATCGGTTAAAAATACCTGAGAAGATTAATTTAAGTGTTTGAAATAAAACAAAAAAATATACCTAGAGGGTGTTTCTTAATTGGATGCTTATTCTTATCAACTTTATAGCAGCTTTATTTTGAAGATATGTATGAGTGTTTAAAATTTAAAAAAACATCGTTTATCGATAATCGACAAAATTTGAAGAAAAGTTGTTTTGGGACAGTAATTCGAAAGTGCTTTTTTTGTTTTTTTTTTAAGGCAGCCCATTTGGGTCATATCTCGAGTTTAAAATGGCCAATTGTATTCCCTTGCGGCCTTGAGTTTACGGTGAATTCACCGTTTGCGTGAATTCTCCGTGAATACACCGTTTATGTGCAGTGAATATACCGTCCATTTGTGACATTTGTAGACGGTAATTAAACGGTGAACTCACGCTGTTTTTGCGATAAATTCACGGTGATTTCACGGTTAATTCATGGTGATTTCACGGTAAATTTACGGTGAACTCAAGTTTGCAAAATCACCGCAAATTCACTGTGAAAGTACCGTAAATTTATCGTGAAATTACCGAGAATTCACCCTAAAAGCGCTGTGAGTTTACTGTGAAAACACCGTAAATTGTAAGTGTGTTAAGCGGTTTAAGCAATACATCTCACGGCTGCTTACGCAAGCGAGCTAACTATAAATAGCGTTGGGTTGCAATATTTAGTTGGAAGTGTGCGTCTGTAATGGCATAGCTGAACATTAATTGTTTGAAGTCCCCATCTCCATCCTCATCTGCTCAGTAACGAATAATGGCTAGCTATAGTCGATTGTGTTAAACCTATTGGATATACCTACTTTTGCGGCCTTGAGTTCACGGTGAATTCACCGTGAATATACCGCCAAAATACGGTGGATTCACAATTAAAATACTGTAAAAGTGCGTGAACCTACCGTTTACAAATATCACAAACAGACGGTTTATTCACGGTGAATTCACAGTAAATTCACGGTGAATAAACCGTGAACTCAAGGCCGCAAGGGTTGCAAAAAAGGTAAATTAAACCTATAGGACCTATAGTTGACATTTCAACAAATGTAACTCTATAAATGTCCAATTAGTCAATAAGTTTAAGTGCAATCGGTCCAAATATCAAAAAAAGTAAATTTTGTTGGACAAACAAAAATCAATAAAGTATGCCCATTCTTAAACTATCTACAAGGAGTTTGCACTTTCATGATGAAAATAAGGTATTATTAAAAATATGGATAAATGTCAAAGTTATGACAGTTTATATGCACAAAAATCAATAAAGTATGCCCATTCTTAAACTATCTACAAGGAGTTTGCACTTTCATGATGAAAATAAGGTATTATTAAAAATATGGATAAATGTCAAAGTTATGACAGTTTATATGCAGTTAGCCTATACTCAAGATCGTGAGAAGTGAGAAATCCCTTCTCTCGAGCGATAGATCACATCACACCAGCATCGCATGACCCGTAAAATGTGTATTCTCAAAGTTGTGGGATGTGAGCTTTCGTCTACGATACGCTATGCGCTGTTGACATATCTACCAACCAATCGTATTATAGGGTTTCTGCACGTGACTTTGTTTATTTGTCGTTTTGACAATTGCAGTGTTTGCAGGTTATTTGCGATTGTGCGATAGTGATTGTTCACAGATTTAGTTTTAGTCAGGGTAAAGCAATTAAGTAAGTCTTTCTACTATGGTTTGTGTTATATTCGGTTTATTTTGTTGCAAAATACAATTAAGAATATTATTTTGATAAGTTATGGTATTTTGTAAATGTAAATACCCCATAGTGGGGTTACTTTGCACCTGCACGTCGGTTTTTATTATAAATATCGCCAAATGTGCACATTTTACACACAGTTCAACTTCTTATTTAGTAAATCAATCACAAGTCGTACAAGCTCTTTAGTCAAACGAAAAAATCTTACAAATTTATCGTCGGACAATAAAAATGGATTTTGCCTGGGTAAAAAGGCTCTATTAGGTCGATCTACTTGCTCTTCAGCGTCAGCAACATCATCAATTACATGAAGCAACGCAACGTCTTCAAAATTCATCTTATAATAATTATAATTATTACTAGTGTCAAAAAATATAAATAACCAGAAATATTTTTAGGTTATATTTTTCACACGATCGACGCGTTCTCCTACTAAGGATCAAGCGATGTTCCCTTCTCTTGATATTGTGGGATGGGATCAGTCACATTTTTGGAGAATACGCAATTTTATATTTTGACATGATATCGGCAAGCTCCGCCCACTTTCTCACGATATGACCACATCGCACGATTCGAGTATAACCACCCTGGGTTTTGGTATGAAAAAATTATGGTTCTTTGTAAAGGAATTAGATACCGAAAACAGAAGGCAATCGAAAACCTAAATTATTTTTAATTTACAATGTTATAATGATATACATTCTGTTCTATTTAAAACGAAACACCCTAAATTTCCCGGAAACTAGAATTTTGTAAAAACTAAATTTCGAAAAAAAAATGGAAATGTCCACTTCTGGCATTGACCCCTTTAATTATAAATAGATTTATTTCAAAAATATTTTGTTTTCTTATAACAGTTTGAACTTCATGTAGATAATTTAAAAATTGACATACTTTGATGATTTTTATTCATCCTTGGCAAAGAAAATAATGTTGCATTCTCATTTCTATTCAAAAACAATTTTTTTCAATATATAAGCCGTTTGAACTTAAGCTAATTAACTGATTGGGTAGGTACTAAGAAAGTAATATTTATCGGCGACTCGAATATCTTTAATTTGACACTTTTTGCAACCAGATTGGCTAGTTCAAACCCGAGATATGACCCAAACTGTAAAGCTGCTTTTTTAAAGAACCAAAATAATAAAAAAAAATTATCTTAAAAACCTTGTCATACAAAAATTTTTGTTTTGTGATTTTTAAGTTTAACAGGTCAAAATACATTAGAAAAAAATAGTGGCATCGAATGTCCATTTTTTTATTTTAATTTGTAAACCAGTGTTATTTGTCAAAACTAAAAACCTGTCAACTTCGTTGTGTATGTAAACATACACAATGTGTATTACATTACATATTTATCCACGAATCGTGGACCACGATACACAAAAACCGGTATGCTGATGCGCATGTTATAGCTATCTCTCTCGCACCGTGTGACGTCATGTGCGAAACAAAAGCTGGCGGGTAAATGGGTTGGAAAGTTTTTGCACTGCAAATTCACGTTATATACGAAAATTTATAAATATAGGAACGGCCTGGGTGCAATTAATAAGTGGAACAAATTATAAGAGAAAGTTAAATTGGCAGCAAGCGCTTTTAATACTAATGGAACATTCCACATTTAAACTTTTTTGTTAAAAATAAACATTTATTTTATTTAAATATTAAATTTTAAATTAATTGTTTTAATTGACTTGCCTATTTGCCCCACCCGTAATAAAAAAACCTAATAGTTTTGATTTTAATAGAATTAATTATTTTGCACTCGTCCGTTACAAAACTCGCTCCTTCGTCGCTCGTTTTATAAATTTTCCGCGTTCGACAAAATGATGGCTTATGACATTAGTTCTTTAATAAACTATTATAAAACTAAAAACTTCTAAAAAACTAAATGACGTTACAAATAGTACGGTTCCATGGATAAAAAAGCTTTCAATAATAAAATATAAATTAAATAAACATATACAAATTAGTACAAGTGTCCCACCCATCACATGGAGTGACCCCAATGTTACAAATTTTTATTTAATTGAATTAACTTAACTTACGCTAGACCGGATCTTATTTTTTTTTTAATGTGATAGTTAAAAAAATTATAAAAATGCATTTATGCAGGTAATAATAACGCACGCCCGCTTAAAGTGTCAAAAGTTCCGATACGGACAATTGTGTTTTAATTTTTATAATTAGTAAGAACTTATGCAAGCTGTAAAAAAATATTTGATTAGGGTGAAAAATTACTATTAGTACCTAACAGAAAATTTGGTATAACTACCAAAAATTGCCTTTACTTACCGTTTTTTATTTTTATTTTATCCTTTCTCTTGCATGCATTTATCCACTGTGCTGCCAGATCTTTATTTTTTGTAAATCAAAAACATTTAATGTTAGGTTAGGTGTTTAGGAGTTTCTGTTCATATTTCTGCTGTCTGCTACAGCACAGCCTGGCATATTTTAAATAGTTATTAAGTCCAACAAATATAACACAAACTTAATAAATAACCTGGTATAAAACACCCGAGCGTGGCTTATATACCTTGTAAATAGTTATTGCTGTTCAATAAATGCAGTAAAAACGAAAAACGTTGCAAAACCATCGTGCGTGGCTTATACTAGAAACACAATAATTTTGGGGAAAAAACGTTAAAGAAATCGTAGTAAAACACCCGTGCATAGCGTATGCATATGCAAAACTGTTTGAATCTGGTTCGCACGTGACGTCACATTCGCGGAGTTGACAAGTTTTCGTTTCATAATCAGCATACCGGTTTTTGTGTATAGTGAGCATAAATACGCCTTTATAAAGGCGACTATAGTCGTCTTGGGCATGGGGTCTAACAAACTTTCAGGAAAAAATTTACTATACTACATTTATCAAACCAAAACAAGTTTAACAATTAAAACATTTTTCATTTTTTAATTATTAGTTAAAAAAATTAAAAATGGAGTTATCTTTTTCTTGCAGTAAATATATTATGATAAATATGATATAAAATTTTAAAAGCTGTAATCATATTATTAAAAACGAGTGTTTAGTTGGCATCCATTTTTTAAAAGTCATTAAAATTTACGTCGTGACTAGAAGTACACTGGGAGTACGGGCATTAAACGTACATCAGGTTTGTGCGCATGCGTGTTTCCATACCAGCTGATGGTAAAATTTAGGATTTATTAGTTGAGATTAAATTGGTACACTAAGGCCCAATTGTATAACAGTTGGTAAACAGCTGGTTAACTCTTGATATTAATTATGTAATTATTAAGCTAACTTTCAACTTATAAACATTGATTAAAATTTAATTAAGGGATTGAAATACAATGAACAACAAAATTAATGAAATGTCAGTAGGTATGAATTACCCAAACTCAACAACCCAACCCAACCGACCCCGCCCCATTGGGCCCCCCCGCCCCATTGAGTGACCATTTAATATTATACAATTGACAAATATGCTAAATAAGGATTTTTTCCACCCGGTGTGCGTTTAATGGCGGTACTCCCAGTGTACTTCTAGTCACTTTGTAAAATTTAATTTAGTAAAATACGCATTATTTTAAAAGATCAAGTTGTGTGAAATAGCTGCAGCATCAATGCCATTTTTAAATTTTTTTTTTAAATTTTTATGCAAACCATAAAAATGTTCTCAAAAAATACATATATAATTCACATTACTTTCCTATACTTAATACATTATTGTATTATATAAGTTATTTAAAAAGTGTATGCATTTATTCTAAAAGTCCCTGAAATACCCAGCATACTTATTACACAATATTTATTTACCTTTAAAGCATGTTTTCGAGAAACACCATTCCCCTCCGATATGGACAAAATTTCATCAATGGTTTTAGCACTTGCAATTTTAGTATCTGTGTGTGGTGTATTTATTTCATTGTTAATTTTGTTAACATTTTCTGAATTTAACGAAGCAAAAGCTGTAGCTACCATACTATGCTGGGTTTTTTGGTTTAAATTTGACTTTGCAACAGTGGATCTTGGAACATCTTCCCCCTCTGGATTTTTAACTTCGGCGACAACTGGAGATGAAGATAAGTTTATTCTTGATATAGATGGTAGTCTTCCGCTATTTTTGGTACAATTTACCAAGATTTTAGAGAATTTAAACATTTTTGAGGTTAGGTAACCTAAAAATTACAATAAGCACCTGGCATCTGCGATATACTGCGACAATAATAATTTTATTTAGTAATCTTGACTTACTTTATAAGTAATATTTTTGTTGTTTTTATAGCTTTTAATAACTTTATTCTTAAATTTTTAGTTAACCATTTCTAGTAACTTTTATTTTGTAACCAAATTTTTATTTTATATGATTTTATTTTACAACATTATTTAAGAAACATTTCTTTAGAAATATAATATAATAAAATAAAATATTTTTTTTTATTTAATACAAAATTACATTAATTTAAAAATATTACATAACAAATTTAAATAATAATTTATACAATTGTTAGGATGTTTAAACTAATTTGACATTAACAGTAGTTCCACAATGTGTGGATTGTGAGTAGTTCATTTGTGAACTTTTTAACCTCGAATATGAAAGTGCATTAATTCGAAAAGGTGAAAATAAACACTTCCTAATTCCTGTTATCAGTAATGTAGTTTTAGTGATGTTGTAAACTACAAATTAATTACAATACCATGGCTTCAATGTTGCAAGTAATTCTTGATGAAATATGTCTTTTGTTGGAAACTTACAGAGGAAGAGATAAGGTAAATAATCTATATTACTTAAGTAAATAATTTATAGTCAATGAATCTGCGATTTTTATGTTATTGTGTATTATTAAAAATTTTGGGTGCACACTTGGGGTGCACATTTTAATTTTGTTAAAATAATAACTATTATATGAAAACAATTGAGGCCTGTCATAGCAAAACCGACAATCTCCACTTTTGGTCAAAAATTAGATTTTTGGCGGAGACTATACTTCAACTAATTATCTATAAGATGATAAAGTTTATGTGCTGCAAAAGGAGCTAAATCCTGCCTAAAATCCTATTTTAAAAATGACATTTAGTGCAAAGTCGACAATCTCCACTGATAGATTTGAAGCAAAGTATACAATCTTCAATTCCACCATTAGAAATTAGTAATTTGTGTCACCTGATATCCTAACATTTGATGTTATAACGTATTTTAGAGATTTAATTTTGTGTTTTTTTACTGGTACATACTGTTCTATTGCAGTAAATTGCACTTAAATAATATATTTAAAATAGGTAAATCTACGTTTTGTTGTTTTAAGAATTATAAAAAAAGTTATCTTGTTTATTTTGTGCTATTATACCATAATAAGATGAAAAGGTAGAGCAAGAAAAGGCTGATAATGTCAAAACATTGCAAGTAAAATATTACAGGGCAAAGTGGGAAGGAGATGATGAGTTGTACTATAAAAAAAATTTTGCACAAGGCAGCCTGGTCCCAGATTTAAAAGAAACTTCAGATTTATGTGGTCCAGTTCAGAATTTTCCCACATTGATTGTATAGTTAAATTTTATAACCATTAAAGGGAGAAAAATACAATTATTTTTTGTTTATTTTTCTAAATCTCCTTAAACGTTTACAACAAAATAAGCAATCTCCAGCAATTCATATCAAAGTCAGCAATCTCCAATTTATAATTATAGATTTCACCTATACTATGCATCCTGGAGACCTTGTAGTTGGCTACTAGACTAACAACAACAATATTTCAATATAATACTTACATAAAAAAAATTACAAATCTAGAATTTAAAATACCAAAATCAATTATCTCAATTTACTCAGTTTTAGTCTGACAGGAGATTGTTGACTTTGCTCTGACAGGCCTCAATTATGAAGCAAATAAGCAAAAACCAATAAATCCATTTTAACATTTTTAAAGAATGGTACCGATTCTTACTAATTTTGGTTAAGTAAAAACCGAAACAGAGAGTACCCAACAGAAGCAACATCCCCTTTTAATAGTTTTCAAATATTTGTGGGACTCTGCTGTATTTGGCCAATGTCTCAAAATAAGTTAAAATGAATTTATTGACTTTTGCATGTTTGCTCCCCAGTTAATAGTCAAAATAAAGGTTTTTAATTTTCTATACTCTTGAAGACATGAGTTCTGTAGAATCAAAGTAGACATGTCCTCTACCATGCTAAGCTGTAGCCCAGAGCCAAACTAAACTGCGCACCACTCAATGTGTCGCGACCAAAAAGTTTGTTCTTTTTTAAAACGATATAACTTTTTTGTTTCCTGAACGATTTTATTTTGGTTTGTGATGTCTGCTAGCCTCATCCTCTGGCAATTTATGCTATAGATATGATGCTCACGGTTGTTCAAGTAAATTTCCTACAGGGTGATATGTTAAACGGTGAAAAATTTCAATAACTTTATCCAAGCCCCGTTTGTAAAAAAATAATTTTTTTTTCGTTTTTACTTTGAAATAATGAAGTATTATGTGTTACCTTGAAAAGTTTTTCAAATTTTTCGAATTGGAATCTTAGCAACGAAAATATGATTTCTTTCCAAAAGAGTACATTTAAGGCTTTTTGGTAGGCAATATACTTAGTCTTTTTAAGAACAAGAAAATAAGATGGTAAAAGATTGTTCCTTGAATAATTCTGAACAAGCGACAAGCAACAAACTTCCATTATTTTTAGAGGGGCCTAAGCAAAGACCACTTTTTCAAAATGACAATTTGGTGAAAATTTGCAAAAACTAAACCTGAACCGATATTTACGTTCTGACATGTTTTCTTTATAATTTTGACCTCCTGATTGTGATTCAGTTGTCAAATTTAAGTTTCAGATAAAATCAAAATCATCAAGAATCAAAATTCGAAAACAATTCCCTGTTGTTATTGCCTAAAAAAAGCTTTAAAAGCTTTAAAAAAATCATATTTTCGTTAAAGTAAAAACGAAAAAAAAATTATTTTTTTTACAAACGGGGCTTGGATAAAGTTATTGAAATTTTTCACCGTTTAACATATCACCCTGTAGGAAATTTACTTGAACAACCGTGAGCATCATATCTATAGCATAAATTGTCAGAGGATGAGGCTAGCAGACATCACAAACCAAAATAAAATCGTTCAGGAAACAAAAAAGTTAAATCGTTTTAAAAAAGAACAAACTTTTTGGTCGCGACACATTGAGTGGTGCGCAGTTTATATGAGGTCCACTTTTTTAAAATGACATACCTTTATCAAAATATAATCCTGTTTTCCATTGGAAAGGGAAAAATATACGCAAAAATAGTTGTTTAAAAATATAATACAGTTTGGTTCTGGGGTAAAAATATTAAGTGCCACCTTTTTGCTTAGCATGGCAAAGGACATTTACAGCATAAGTATTGATAGTTTTTCTTCTGAATCCTCAAGAACAGATGCGATTTTTATAATAATTATTAAAACACTAGAATATTTTTAATTTTTAATAAATATCTTACAACAATTAGATATTGTTGTTAGATTTTTATAAACAATTAAAAATATTCTAGTGTTTTAGCTGTTCTTAAGGTAAAACCATTTATTTCTTTTTTGGGTTAATAATAGGTGTTAAGAACATTATGTTATACTACAAAACTGGTGGGTGGAATACACAAAAATAAAAGTTTTGCAAAAAAGTTACTGCAATTTAGCAGTCAAATGTCAGGAACTAGAGCCACATTGAGACTATTGGATGATTTACCTATGTTACAATACAATTTACAATACCAGTTTGGACATGAGGTACATACTTTCAAACAAATTTACATTCAGTAAAAAAAAATAACTTTTTTTTAAAGGAACCTGATAAATATATGGCCCAATTTGGTGTTCTCACAAACATAATCGATCAAGTTTATTACCCCATTGAAAAAATTTCTTGGTTAGCAGAGCATAAACTTATTACAGGAGTTGATAATAATAGGTGGGATTCATTGAGTTCCATTTGTTGGGTTGCATCAATTTATTTAACTTTGTTAAAATCTCTACGATACCTTTCTGTCTTACAGAAAAATAAGTACAATAATAAAAAGGATAATAGGTAAGTTAGTAAAAATTTTAATATTTGAAAATATTTTAAATTATACTACTTTAGTATTCCTTTGGAGAAAATGAATAAAATGCAAATATTTGAAATTTTGACTTCTATTCGACTCACTATGGATTTGGTTCATGCCATTAATACTTTGCCACAAGGATTCTTATGGTCATCAAAATTATCCACTTGGCAAGTTGGTTTGATTGGTTCAATGTCTTCTGTTTTAGGTATTTATCAAATTTTTTATAAGAGAAAAATTGTTTAATATTCCTGTTATATTTTACTTTTATATATGGTTGTTAAATTTATTTATATATTGGTTAATTGTTTATAATATTGTATTTCTATTAAATAAATATATTTTTAAGATTACTTTTATCTAATCTTACTTAATCCAAAGGATTATTTGAATTAAAAAAATACTTTGAAAACTCTTTATTGCATGATTATTACATAATATTGGTTATTTTGACTAGGGACAAACACCATTAGAAACTCTTAAAAAAATAATATAATACTGTAACTATTTTAACATAAAATCTACCATTTATTTTAAGGGTATGTTTTATGTTAAACCCACTAAATTTGTCATGTCCTAAAATGTTCTTATGGTTGAGGAGCAAAAATAATTTAAATTTTATTTAAATTAAATATATTTGTTGCGCGTGTAATACCTGTAAAGTATTTTCCATATTAGCTTTTTTTGCAAAGTGGTTTAGAAACAACAGCTCTGTTTGCTGAAAAACCTTCGCAACTGTCATAAAGTCTTTTTCAAAAAAAAAGGGAAAAATTGTCAATTTTTCTGAAAATTTTCACAGATAATATTCGTACACTGATATCGAGAAAAAAAAGTGAATTTACGACTGATCATAATCAAATTATATTATGATTATAATAATTTTTCGTATTATTTAAAATGAGAAGGAATATTCTACCGGGCTGCAAAAAAAAACGAGAAAAAAACGTTAACACATCAATATGTAAATTATAATTTAATTTTAATTTTTCCGGGTTCTTTTTTTAAACTTAAACCCTACTACTGTAAAATATTTTGCAAATGGCAGATATTACAGGCGCAACGACGATTTTTAATTCAAATCCTTAGAACATATGGAACATAAAATTCATTCACTATTTCACTATTTTTTCACTAAAAATGTCATATTTAAAGTTACTTAAAGGTACTGCATTTAAATATTGCTTAAAGCTTTTTTTTAAAAACTTGCATTAAAATATGGTTTGATAAAATTGCAACTTTAAATACAACAAAACATCACATAAAACATTTTGAGTTCCATTTACGATGAAGGAAATTAAATTAGTTTATGGATGACATGGGGGGACAAAATGCTTTATGTGGCCCAATGAAATTGTTAATTAATTAATACTTTTAAAACTTTGTTAAAAGGTTAAAACAATGCCAAATAAAATATACCTTATAAATAAAATCAAAAAATTGAAGCCTGAAATTATTACATAATCAGGTAACTTTCATATTTTTAAAAATCATGTAAGCTTTCAGGCCCCATCAAAAACAGACTTTTATCAGTCTTCCAATCTTAAGGTAAGTTTGGAAGATAGAGATAAAAAACATTAAAATTACAATCACAAAACAGTAACCCAGTCTAAAAATCAAAATAACAAAAAAAAAATAAAAAGAACTTAAAACAGCACATAAAATTAGGGATCCACCACCTTGAGCTGAAATAAAAAATATCTTTTAATATTAATGAAAATATTTAATTTATTTAACGCATTTTGAAACTATGATTTTTTAATTTTTTTTATCATAAACTTTAGAAATATTCAGTAATAGCCAAATCGACCTTGATTGAAATAGCCAATGTATCATAATATAACAAGTCCTATTATACAGTTTTAACTGTAATATAAATATCCTAAAATTTATAAAAGTATTAAATATTACCCAACTGCCCATATAAATTTAAAGTTAAATTAACAATTAGGTTTTTAAAAACTTTAAATATCAACACTTAAAACTACAGTTATGTTAAACACTAACAATAAATCCAAACTATTATAAAAAATCTGTTACAGCTAAAATAATACTATTTAATTTAATTCATTATAAAATTGATTTTAATATGCAACAAAATCTATTTGTCCAATTTATTACTACAATCATTGTTAAAAAAAAATCACACAAATTGTTACCGAATTTCACTATAAAATCTTTCAAATAAGAAAATATAAGGACTTTCGGCGCATGTATAAAAATAACTTGATTTTTTGAAGGCATGTTGAACTTTTTCCAAATCAATAAACAAATTCATCATCAACTAAACACTAAATGGCGAAAAATGCTTTGGAAAAAATGTTTACATGCCGCAAAGTCATATTGTAACAGTTTAACAGCAAAAATATCCCCAACATTTATCTGTATAAACTTCAATGGGGATATTCATTATATTTTTATTAAGTACTTAAATTACCTAATTAATAATCAATTGGCCAATAAAAAAATAATAACAAACAACAACTTTACACTTTCTTAAAAGTGTATGGAAAAAAATTTAACAGTAATACAGCATATTAATTAAAACAGCGAATTAGAAGGAGATAGATAATAAATAATATATTATACTACCAAAAATGAACGAAAAGTACCCACTTGCTTTTATTAGTTGAGATTGTTGATGGAGGAGGCCAGCGAATTGCCCAATCCAAGCACTTGGTTGTTCTTCGAGTTCCTCATCAGTGGTGTGTGATGACGGAAATCGTTGTTGTGCTGCCACGGCCAGCAAGTGCGGCAGAAATATCTGAAGCAAATCAGGTCGCGACAGAAATAGGGACCCTGCTGGACCCTGCACATTGAACACAGGGAGTCCTCCAAGTAGGGATCCACCTGAATCTAAAGCAACGAAATGTTCTATTTAATATTTCAATCAAGCGCGGATATCATGGGTTAATGGTAATTACCCCCCCATGAACAGTATTAAAAAAAACAAATTATATAGGTATACAGGGATACCAGGAATACAAAAAAACATGCGCCAATGCTCGGCTAGAGATTTGTCATCCATAAATAAGAAAAAAAGCTCATATAAACGTAGGTCCAGAAATGCTTATTTTCAATATAAACATTAAAAAAATCGTTTTTTTTTAATATCTTAAATATCGTTTAACCGATTTTGTTGAAATGTGGCAACATCATTTAGTTTTTATTTAACTGGAAAAAGGTGCAAATATGCGTTTTCGGTACCTTAGAATGACAAGGTTCTAAGCGGTTCTTAGTGCAGTTGCCATGTTAAGCGAAAATATTATCAATGTCAGAAATATTAATAAAAATGTATGGTCTAAAAATATAAATTAAAGATATTTGAAAGTAAAGTTTTTTAGAAAGAATAGGTATAAACAATCCCACAAACACAAACGTAAAGGTTCTATAATGGTTCTATAAACGTGCCTTTAATGAACTAAAGGCCCTATAAAGGCTTACTCTAATGGAACTGTACATAATATGTATTATATGTAATATTATTATGTCGCGTTCACCTTTAATGGACATGTAACGGCAGTCAATAAAGGAACTTACAAGAATCATTCCATTTTTTGATAAGGCGCACTAAAGGTTCTGATATGGGGTGTTAAAGATTTTATAGTGGTTATTTAAATAATTTTTAATGGATAAGTGAAGTACCTATCTATTATGGTGGATTAAATGTGGTAGGTATATTAGGGTGTCTGTTATTTACCAACTTGGTTTTTTTTGTTCGCAGCGCCCCCTAAATTTTTAGTTTTTGACCTAAAAAAAAATATAAAAAAATATTCATTTTAAACCGTGCCACAAAGAAGATACATTTTCCATTAAAGTAATATGGGGTTTCAGCAAGTTTTAAGTTTAATTTTTTTTCTCCCGAGCAAGTAAATATACAGCAATATGGAACACATATTTTTATAGGAAATTGAACGCTGTACAAAAAAGCTTTCCTATTATTTTTTCATAAATTCACTGATTTAAAAGATATTTCAGGTTAAAGATAAACTAACGTAATTTTTTCGATTTTTTTACTTTGACTGCAAAATTATAATTATTTTTATGAAAATGAAATGTTTCTTTTTGAAAATATGTGATTTTATTGTATTATTGAAAAAATAAAAATTATTGAAAAGAGATAAGTAAAAATTATATCTACTGTAAAATTAAAACTGCACCTACTTACTCATTTAAATTTAACAACCATTAGGTATTATTATTTTTTTATGTGGTATAACACACTTAAAACTATAGGCATTACACTGGGCGTCATTTTTAAAATATGGCGTTAGCCAAAGGATAATTAAAGGTTCATGTAAGTTTTATATACAAAAAACATTTGGCACTTTAATGTTTTTTTGAAGTCCCATTAACTTGATACTAAAAATTGCCATATATGGGTCTTTTATGGTAAAAAATACAAATATTACCTGAAAAGGGCAAGACCTTATCACGACAGCCTTTTATCAAAATTAATATTTTTATTAAAACATTCTTGTAAAGTTTTACAAGGAAAGCTTTGGCTAAAAATGTCATTATCAAGCCATGAAACTATGTAATGGGCCATTACATAATCAGACTTATGTGTTTGCTCAGCAAACTTTGCTGGGTTGGTAATTAATAAAGACTTAAATAATGAAATGAAAGAATTAGTACAAATTAATTTATACTAAGATGTACCCATTCTTGAGAACTGTTTTGCTTGGTATAACGTAGTATAAAATAAATAAATAAAAATATGGGTTTTTATTTTTTATGTCAAAAACGAGGAAATACAATATACGAAAACAACTCAAGAAACAAATAACTTGTTTTAGTGGCCTAATCATACAAAATAAAAAAATTGCAATAAAATTATTGAATTTTTGTCATTAATATTCGTTAAGGTGCCTCCTAGGACGCCACTGGATATGACAATTTGTATCTAGTTAAAGCAAAATTAGCTCCTTAACAGTATAATATTTAATAAACTTGTCAAATTTCAACAAAATCTGGCAAACGATTTTTGAGATTTTAAAAAGCCGTTTTTTAATGTTTCAAGTTCTTGAAAAGAAAGTATTTCCGGACCTACGTTTATACGAACTTTTTTCCTTATTTTTGGATGACGAATATAAAACAAATAGTATTTCAATTTTCCTTAAAAAAAATCCTGAAACACGGCGGCAACTCTGGCTGGACAGACGTTGTCCTGCCTGAACGTTGGCTATAACCCGATTGCAGTGCCACCTACCGGGTCTAATTGCGACTCTAAACCATCCAGGGACCGGACCCACTCAAACACACAAAATTTTATCCAGCCGTTTAGAAGTTCATGCATAGCGTACATAAGGATCATATATAAGGATTAATTATATAAAGATAGGGTGCACAAAGTATCCTTCTATGTGTTTTTATTTGAAGAGCTACAAGGTCTGTTAAATAAGATAAAAGCCATTTAAAAGTAATTTTAAATCTCTCAAATTAAAAGAAACTAAATAGGTACCTTTTAAAAGCAAAAATCTTTAGAACGTCAATATTCCTGGAAATTAAAAAAAAGTAATTTTTACATGTAAACATACACGTTAAAATACATTTTCCTCCAATTTCTTCGCTACTATATTTTGAGAAGATAATGCTTGCCATAACTTATGTAGTTTGATATATCGTTGTATTATTTAATTTTTTTTCCAATTAGGATGGTGGTAACTTAAAATAAAGTAGGAAATAAATTGGATAAAAATGTAGATTAATGTTAACATGTAAAACATATTTTTTCAAAATTACCAGAAATTTTTGGTTTTGACAAATTTTCAGTTTTTTTCGTTGTATTCCTTGATTTTTTTTCTATCTAACCATGTAAAATTCCAAAAAATCACAAATTCGATTTTTTTTTTAATTTCCATCAAATTATAACGATTTTTTGTTTTAACGATTTAAAATTTTTTCAAATTATTTTAGAACCGCAGATTTTTTTTTAATATTTAACTGTCATTTTAATAGACTTGTAATTACGCAACTTTTGTCTAATTTAACCGACCCTTTGTATTCTTAAACAGTGTGTCCGTAAAGTCCCGGAACATGAGATTATTTTTAAAACAGTAAATATTAAAAAAAAAACCTAAAACACGCCAAATTTGTTATTTTGGTCTATGTAGTTGTTCCAAAATCTGCCGCTTGGCGGGGCCACAATCAAAGTGAGTTTTTTTTTAATTACAACCCTTTATTTTTGTTGCATTTTGGGATAGCTACCGTTGTCCTGATTACATTGATTTACCACATCTGGAGGGTTACATGGGAAAATTTTTGAGAAAAGCAGATTTTTGCCGCCGAATGAGATTTTGGTTTTTTTCAAACTTAAACACAATCTATGCGTTGCTTATTGTTTTTTGGGAAGCCAATCAGAGCAGTTGCTCAAAGTGTCAACCGTAAACTATTTGGCAGTACCGCTGGTTTTTGCCGGCGAATGAGATTTTGGTTTTTGTCAAACTTAAACACAATCTATGCGTTGCTTAATGTTTTTTGGGAAGCCAATCAGAGCAGTTGCTTAAAGTGTCCACAGTAAACTATTTGGCAGTTGGCCAGTCTGTCCACAAACGAGCGTTGTACGTTTGCCAGTACCGCTGGAGTGATCATCTGGACCTCGGCTTGAATGCGATGTCTTAGGTGGTCCAAATTTTGAAGCCTGTTTACATATACGCGGTTTTTAAGATGTCCCCATAAAAAGAAGTCTAAAGGGGTCAAATCGGGCGATCGCGCTGGCCACTAGATTTGACCCCTTCGACCAGCTATTGGGGAAGACCTGATTTAAATAATGCCTTACTTAAAATGCATAGTGTGGTGGTGCCCCGTAACAACGAATAAGTTCGTCAAAGTACCAAAATCTTAATCGCCGGCAAAGCCCTGCTTTTCTAAAAAAATTTCTTATGTAACCCTCCACATGTAGCATATCAATGCACTCAGTACAACGCGTTGCAACGGTAGCTATCTAAAAATTCAACAAAAATAAAGGGTTAAAATTAAAAAAAAAACTTACTTCGATTGGGGCGCCGCCACGCGGCATTTTGGAACAACTACATGGGCTTAAATATTGCTAGAAAATCAAGTTGACGTGTTTGAGCGTTTTTTTTAAATTACCGTTTTCAAAATAATCTTATGTTCTGTGACTTTACGGACACACTGTATACTAAAAATATCGGAGCAGAATTTCGAAAAATTTGAATTGATTCTTTATTTAGTATTATCTACAGATTTTTAAAATGATCGAAGTTAATAATCTATGATTATCGTTACTTTCCAAAAAATCAATAAAAACTCATTGACACATTTGGTTTGACTCAAAGGTAGGGTTTTAACGTAGTGATGTAAAATACCCAGGTATTTACCCTATTTACCCAAATAGGGTTTTTACCCGGGTATTTACCCAAATAGGGTATTTATAGGGGTATTTCGATTTAAATCTTACATAAAAATAGCTTGAAATCAATAAATAGTTTTATTCAATATAGTGAAGTATACTGTAGTAGCATTGAGTAAAGAACTTCCTTACTCAATGGTAGTAGTACCAACCTTAATATTATTTAAAACTTAGTTTTATCTATAATGCCAATGTTTTTTTTTAAATATGTATCAAATTATTCACAAAAATGTATGCAAGGTGAAAGAAGAGAAATTAAAATCTGCTGGATTTCAAAAGGCTTTTATATTTAGTAAAATAAATGGGTACATGAAAATAGGTCCCTAATTGATTTTATTATTTTACTTAGATTCATTTTTATTATATTCTTCTCCTTTTCCAATGGGTTTCATCCTACTGTTATTTTTTTTGGTTTCAAAAATTATCGACCCTGGTCTATGTGTGCATTTCAACAATTAAGCGGTTTTCCACGATTAAGTGCGTTCAGAGACAATTCTAGTACGTTTATGTTTATATGGTTTAATAGGGAAGTTTAATATTATTTAAAGTATAAATAATAACGCATTTATCAAAAATACCCAGTTTTGGGTAGGTAAATAAAATTTGGGTATTTACCCAGGTATTTACCCAAATTTTATTTACCTACCCACTGGGTATTTACCCTATCTACATCACTGTTTTAACGAGTCGAAAAAAAAGGGAAAAATTGAAAAAAAAACATGTTTTTTTCCCGGTTTTTTTCCCAGGTCTTTTTGGGAAAAAATGGATTTTTTTTTGGAAAATATACCTACACATTTGAAGAAAGTAGCAACTAGGTGCAACTAGGTAACAACTTAACATTATTTTAATTTAAAAAAATATCTTTTGTTACAGAAAAAAATAATAAAACTAAATATTTAATAAAATTTAATTTATTTAAAAAAATAAAGGTAAACGTAAAAAATACTGTCGGTTAGGTCTTTTTTCATAAAGTTAAATTACAAAATTATTTTTTTATAAATATATAAAGTGTCAAATACAACGAAAGTTTGTATGTTAATATAGCACCGAATATGTTTTTTTGCGGCCCGATAGAATATTTTTACTGAATTAAAATAAAAGGAATAATTATTATAATCATATTATTTAGCGTCGGAAATTTACTTTTTTCGCGATATCAGTGTACGGATGATATCCGTAAAAATTTGGACATTTGGATTTGGAATTTTTATAAGAAAATTTTTCTGAAATAACGGCTTTTTCCGCCGGCTCAATTTTTCCGGAAATTTTAAAACCCTACTCAGAGGTTGATCTGGATATATTTTTTTCACATATTCTTTTGATTCTAAACGTATTTGGTCGTCAAAGGTTTCCGGAAACCTCATTACATAAATCCCCCCTTCTTATATAGGCGCCATCAAAATTTCGCGGGGCACACACACTTGCCTCGTTACGCCACTGGTCAGAAAACTATTGTTTTAAAATTGTTGCACAATGTATTTAAACATTCTTACCTTCTTGGTAAATTTCGATGTTTTTACTTCAATAAAAGCAGCAGCTACCGCCTTCATGTATGAACGTGGGTTATTGAAGGTAACCCTGCCAGATCCAATGGGGTACTTGTATTTGTCAGTATCAATGCCGGCATAGACAACTCCATCAAACAAGTCATTCATAATTTTGGCCAAACCTTCAGCATTAAGCATTCCATGTAAAGCTCCAACAAATACGGTTTTGCATGGATCCAATTTTTGGGAAGTAGACTTGGTATAGTTGGAATCATTTATTATCCAGGGGATTACCTGAACCTAAATCAAAATTAATTGAACATAGTAAAATTTTAAAAAGCATAAAAAATAACTCACTTCCTTTGCCTTCATTCTTTTTGAACTGATCTTGTAAAACCAGTTTCCACTGTTGGTATAATCGTTTGTGCAAGCTTGCAGCAAGGCCTTAACGTTTTTCTCAGACTCAAATATAATATAGACATAGCCTTTTGGTTGCGAAGCCTGCTTGTCCTTGCCGGGCCATTCCACGCGAATCTGGCCAAACTGTTTGAACGTTTGCATTAGCAATTGTTCGGAAATATCCCAGGGCACACCGCCCAAAAAAACTTTGCTTGAATAGCCTGCTGGCTTTCCTACGCTACGTGGCGGCAATATTCCGCTCCAGGTGCAAGTGGCATCATACACAGCTAAAATTAGGAAACAATAACACTGGTTTACAAATTAAAATTAAAAAAATGTACCTTCGCTGCCACTATTTTTTTCTAATGTATTGTGACCTGTTAAACTTAAAAATCACAAAAAAAAAAAATTTTATGGCAAGGTTTTTGAGATAAAATTTTTTCTTTAATATTTTGGTTCTTTAAGAAAGCAGCTTTACAATTTGGATCATATCTCGGGTTAGAAATGGCCAATCTGGTTGAAAAAAGTTTAAAATTAAACATATTTGAGTCGCCAACAAATATCACCTTATTAGTACCCAATCAGTTAATAAGCTTAAGTTCAATGGGCTCAAATATTGGAAAAAGTCGTTTTTTTTGGAGAAAAATGAGAATGTAACATTATTTTCTTTGCCAAGGATGAATACAAATCAACAAAATATGTCAATTTTTAAATTATCTACGTGGAGTTCAAACTGTTATAAAGAAAACAAGATATTTTTAAAACAAATCTAGTGATAATTATTATAATTAAAGGGGTTAATGCAAAAAGTGGACAGGTAAATTTTTTTCCGAAATTAAGTTTTTTACAAAAAAAAAGGTTCTATTTGCCTAATAGAACCTTTTTACTGTTAAATAAATTTTATTTTATATTTTAATATTAAAATACAGTGTGTTTCCTTTTAAAACTAACCCCCCTAAATTCTCGGAAACTAGAAGTATTTTAAAAAACGCAGAGACAGGTAAAGTTTTATATCGAGGGGGAAAACTTTTTAAGGCAAAATTTGGTTTCCCACCTTTACCTTCTGCGCCCCGGAGTTACCCCCTTAAGAATTTAAATAGAGAAGGGGTACAGAGTACTACATTATTTTAAAGGTCTTAAAATCCCTATTAAACGGCATTTTATTTTTTTTAAATTGGTCAGTTCATTTTTTAGATATGTACAAATTATTAAGGGGAAAGCTCCTGGGCATAGCATTAATAGCAAAATTTGTTGTCTCCCTCGATATAAAACTTTATGTGTCTCGTGAGTTTTCAAAATTCTTTTAGTTTCCGAAAAATTCAGGATGTTTCATTTTAAATGGAACACTCTATATATCATTATAATATAATTTAATATACAATACTATTGTAAAATAAAATAATTTAGGTTTTTAGATTGCCTTCTGTTTTCGTTATCTGATTCCCTTACAAGGAACCAAATATAATCCCCCATCATTCTTTCATTCGAAAAGCCCTGATAGCGCCGCTCCATGGATTTTATTTCTTGATGAAACCTTTCACCATGCATGGTGAAAGGTGATGAGCATGCTCATCAATCAGGTCACCAAGATTTTTGGGAAAAAATGGGCATATTTTAATGATTTTTGCTTCTTTTTGGTGAAATAGTAAATACTTAATTCTAATTTTGTCCAAAAAATTGACTTTTTCTCGATATTTGGCCCCATTGCACCTAAACTTATTGACTAATTGGGCATTTATACAATTACATTTGTTATTATGTTAATTAGGTTTAATTTGACATCTGTTGTAATCAAATTGGCCATTTCAAACTCGAGATATATCCCAAATAGTAAAACCGGCATCAAAAAATCAAAGACAATTTTTTATTTGGAAAATCTTGCCATAAAAAAAAATTTTATTGTCATTTTCGAGTTTAGCAGGCCAAAATACATCAGAAAAAAATAGTCGCACTCAAGGTACATTTTGACTGTAAACCAGTGTAATAAAGCATATCTGTTCATGCAATTTTTTTATTGCTTATTTGGAATATACGCATTCGAGTTTGTCAATAAAAAAAAATTATACGATTCCCAAACAATTTTTTGAGAACGCTGCAGCATTTTCAAAACGCTTTGAATATAAATATATACATGGTGCGCCAAATATCCTATGTGTATAGGTAATATGTTTACACATATTATGAGTATTTTTTAATTTGAAGATCTTCAAGGTTGGTTATATCCAGGGTTGGCAGGTACAGGTTTTTTAGAACCTAGGTTTTTTAGGTTTTTTGAAAAAACCTAATCATTTAAATAACCTTATTTTAGTTTTTTTTATCTTTACAAAAATCGTTTTTTTTTTAGGTTAACATGTTTTAAAACAAAGATAATAGATTATATTATCTTTGTTTTGTAAAACATGTTTACTAGAATATTGATCAGATGTCTGATAATATGATCACTGACTGATGACTGACTGATCATATCATCTCTGACTGACTGATAGAGAATTTAAAGTTCCATTGAACTTCAATATCTTATGTTTTTATTTTGTTTAATATAAAATATTTTATGATTATGTTGATCCATTTTTATTTTTAAATAAATATGTATTTATCTATATGTGTTCAATACTATTAATTAACTCTCTGATAAACGTTACAAATCAGCAATTTTTAATCTTCCAAAATTCCATCTTAAAAAACCTAAAAACCTAAAAAACCATAAAAAAACTAAAAAACCTTAAAACCTACAATTTATTTTTCCTATTCTTAGGTTTTTTCCAACCCTGGTTATATCTGAAAAAAGCTGCTCAATTACAAGCCCATTAAAATTTTAAAATTATAAAAAACAGCGTTTCTTAAAATATAAAAAAAATTAAATAACTGTCGCAAATTCCTTTGATACTATATTTTGAATCATAGTGTATCAAAGTCAGTGTTAACAGCATAAAAAGTATAACTCGACTAATAGGCTGGATCTCCATTATAAAGCAAAGGCGTGCAATGCGACTGTAGAAATGCATACAGGGTGACCGATCGGTAATTTTATTTCAGTGCACCACGTCAATTGATCGTACCCCTATTTCCTTGCCATCTTTACGTAGTCATTGTGACTATGTAGTAGATTTAATAAACTGTTAGTTAGTTAATTTTTTTACATGTGAAACTCACTTCTTTTTAAAATTACCAGGAATAAACGAAGTTATAAAGATTTTTGGGTTTTGAAAGGTTTTTTAGTTTTTTTGAGATGTCTAGCAATTGCCTTAACCGGATGTCGTGGGCGGGCGTTTGGGGTGGAAATCGTTTAATGTAATTTTCTCGAACGCTGCAACTTTTACGTTCCGTTTGGATAAAATGCAAATATTCGGTTTGCGCCGTGATATAAATAATTATTATTTAAATCATGGTTTGAAAGCCTCCCTTTACATAAATTTCGACTTTGAACGCGAAAAATTAGATTAAACGATTACCTATTCAAAACACCCGGCAAATTTGGTTAAGGCAATCTCTAAATATAAGCGAAAAAAATAGCGGCGAAGTTTTGGGGAGGGCGACAAATGAGGGTTTTTACTTTAATTCAACCCATAATCGATTTGTAAAATAAATGTTTAGGTGCAGAAATTTTCATGGTCTACTTCTTGATTGATTGGGTCGTCCCATAAAGTACGTCACACGTTTATGGGGAGGTGGTTTACCTTGTGTGACAAAGTGTGACATGATGCGTTACGTTACACCAAAAAAATAAAAATATTTTTTAGCCGAAAGTGGATTTTTAGTACTCAAAAGCGGCCGAAAAATTAACACTGTTTTGTCCGATTTCATTATTGTCCGTTTTATGGTGGCGCCATCTATCGATATTTATCAAAAGCTTTTTCGGCCGCTTTCAGTATGGTCTGTTATATTGATAATTATGTCAATAAATCATAAATAAAATAATTATGAGGCTCACCTAAAAAAATTTGTGTGCACTACTGCCAAAGTGTTATTTAGTCCGTCTTCTTTCTGACCTCGGCCATCGCCTCGGCCATTAAAATCAGACTCGTCCAAAAAAAGTTTCGGCAATATTAATAGTTATTTTTGGATGAGTCTAAATTAGAAAGAATATGAGGAAAACACTTTTTGGTAGTGGTGCACATAATTTCTTTAGGCGATCTTCAATATAAATATTTTAATAATAATTTATGGATAACAATAAAACAGACAATAATAGCGGCCGAAAAAGTTCTATGTTATGTTTTGATGATTACACAGTACGACAAAATTGATTTTTTTCCCTCCCATGAAAAATTTCTATAGATTTAAAAAATGATACCCGTGTCTCGGCGTTTTTTCAGATCACGTTATTTTTTTTTAAGTGCGATCCAATAAAATGTTATCCACGATATTCGGCACATAATATAACAGCTTCGATAACAGCTAGACAGTATATTTTTATGAAAAATTTATTCGCTGAATAAATGGATAAACATTAAAATTATTTTAATTATATACAGGGTGTTGCACATTTACGAAATACGGGTGTTTCACGTTCGTGGGTGAGTTTCTGAGGAACGGCAAAAGATATCGATTTGAAATTTTTAAAGCATTTATAATCCAATTAAGCCTATTTTTCTAGAATATTTTTAAAAAAATGTTAATAAAGTTAAAGTTCTTTGTTATTTTAAATAGAACACCCCATATATTTATACATTTTTAAATTCTACATAAAATTTTGTGTAAAATTACTGTACCATGTCCTATAACTAAAGTGAATAGTTTTCAAGTTATTGATTTTTTCCGTTAAAATATGACAAATGCGCGTTAATCAAAAATAGCCTATAACTTTCTTGCTATTAGGTTTGCGGAAATGGGGGTGGAATTTTTAGAATCTTAAAACATTGTTAAAAAAATTCCATGTCAATTCCTTAACATACCGGGTTTTACATTTAAAATAAAAAAGTTATTAACGTTTCAAGTAAGCCCAATTTGCCCTGGGTTTTCTCTCTTTGTTGAAAAATGTTAAAGAATTGACATGGAATTTTTTAAACAATGTTTTAAGTCTCCAAACATTTTACCCTTATATCCGTAAACCTAATAGCAAACATCTAGAAAACTATTCACTTTAGGTATAGGGCATCGTATAGTAATTTTACTTAGAATTTTATGTGGAATTTAAAAATGTAAAAATATATAGGGTGTTTTATTTAAAATAAAAAAGTTGTCAAAATATTGGATTATAAACGCTTTTAAATTTCAAATTCATATTTTTTCCGTTCCCCAGAAACTTCCAATGGACCACGAATGTGAAACACCCTGTATATCAAGTGGTGTCTTTAGGTTGTGATAGATTCGAAAGAATGTATAATCGTCAAACTAAAAGATCAAGATTTGTTTCCAACATATATTTAATATAATGGCGGGTTTATACAACTTCATATCATTAATTTATTTCATAATTCACAATTTAGTGCATAAGCATAAAAGTTAAATCGCACTATCTGCTATGAAACAGTTTATACAACGTTTTAATGCGTAACTCACAATTTAGTGTTTATTGAATAACCTTGGAAGTTCACAAAATTTAACTTTTATGAAATAAATTATGAATTATAAATAAAATTAAACTGCGCATGTGCCTACAATTTTTCTCTCCATTTTATAAGGTTATGATTAATAATTATTGTGTTTTGTGCCTTAAAAAATACTACAAAGTTTTTACATAACATTTCAATGATGGATTTTGTGTCACTTGCCACTTTTAATAATCAATATTGTCATTTAGAAAAATAAAATATTTACTAAATTAATGAGTTGTATAAACCAGATTTTAAAGTTATGTATTATGTATTAATTATGCATTAAATTAACAATTGAGTTATGAAATAAATTGTCCACTAAATTATCAATTGTTGTATAAACCCGACTTAAGATATATCTATATTTATAAATAGAAATCTGGTGTTATATTTAAATTAGTTAGACCATATTATATAGGTTTTCGAAAAAATTGCTTATGTCTATACTTTCATATATAGCTGAAATATTAAAAAAAAATTCTTAAGCGGTCCTCGCTGCCCCGGTCTCCCCTACTTTTTTTTAACCTTAATTTTTAAAATCTGTTAAAATTTTTCATGGGAGGAAAATCGTGTTGTACTGTGTTATCGATAGATGGCGCCACCATATTACGAAAGCGGTCAAAAAAGTGTTGTTTTAGGGTTGCGGGTTTAATTTAAGAGATTTATCAAATAACACCCATATTTGTGTTTATTGAATCTCCAGCAGTAAATTGTTTGAATGGCTATATGTTAAATAAAACTAAAGTTATAGATTATATAACATATGTTAACTTACATGCTGCAGAAAGATGAAAACGAGCTGCTCTGTCCAATTGCAAATTTTCAGAACCAAAATTTGACAAAGAACCGGCATTGCCGCCATTCCACTTATCGAGTAACTAAAAATATATTTATGTATATAAATTTTGTAAAATAATAAGGTGTAATATTTTTATTCTTACCTGTGAAGGTGTATTATGCGAACAAGCAGCCGGCAATAAAGAACTTAGCATGGCAGGTGGCTGCTGTAAATATTTCAAAGCGTGGATGGCTTGCAGATTTTGCAAGTTTGAAATATCCAAGTCATTGATGGTAGTTGGGAACAAGTTGCGAGCAAGTGAATCGTTTAATGTCAAAGAATTCTAAAAAATTAAGTAGGTAGTTGAGTTAAAATCCTGCGTATGTAGATAATAACAAAATACTAACCAGTACATCATTTAAACTACCCTCAGGGCTGGAAATTCCACTTAAATCGGATTCTGGTGAATTTGATCTAGAACTTGTGAATAAACTTGGTTCAAGAACGGCCGGACTGTTGCTTCCACAGGAATCACTAGTTTAAAAAACAATGTATTTAAAAACTTGTATATTTTGCCAACAATATTTTCTACTGTTATATAATAAAGAATTATTCAAGAATTGTTGGCAATTTTTAAAAGCTGCTTTCTATTAAGTAGTTAAAACAATTTACATTTTACATTTTTGAACAAAAATCATTTCTTAAAACATTTTTTTGCGATCATTAGGGTACCTACCATATAGAAAGCTTTTTCGCCATATTGGATTAAGGGGTAAATTCGCGAATGACAGTCGTATTTTTCATTTTATCGAAAAAACGGTCAAAACCATTATTGAGAAGAAACATTAGTTCTACAAATTTGTATACTTAATATTTTTTAATCACTATTTTAAACAAGAAAAATTAGTTCTACAAATTAATATACATTATATTTTTTAATATCTTGCATATTTAACGATTATTTAAGAAAGAAGGGAGTCGACAACTTTTCATGGTCGAACAACTTTAGTAGTTAAACACACGATATCTACAACTTTTATTGGAAACATTTTTTCACGCAAACAATTATTTACCTACTGTAGCGCCCTTTGGAGTTGAAAATTTTTTACGGACTAGCTAGTATACTAGTATCTTTTTTTATTATCGATATAGATATAAACCCTTGTATGTACAATATTAACCAATAAACAACAAAATATCATTTTAATTGTTAAAAACTAAAAATTATCTCTTGTCCATTATTACTTAATATTGCAGCTTCGCCATCTTGGATTTAGGTGGTGAATTAGCGTATAACATCCGTATTTTTTATTTTATCGAAAAAACAGCCGAAACCATTTTCGAAAAGAAAAATGGGTTTATAAAATTTGTATACTTAATATTTTTTAATATTTCGCATATTTAGGGTACCAACGGAATCAATGGTACTGTACCATACAGGAAGCTTAAATCCAAGTTTTCGACTCCTTGCAACTTTTCCGTCATCTAGGATTACGGGGTGACTTAGCCGAATACCTACCTGCCGTATTTTTTATCAACAAAAACCGCATATACCATTTTTACTAGAAAAATAAGTTCTACAAATTTGTATACATACAATTTAAAAAAAAAGTGCCCACTATTTTTGAAGGTAGAGTATCTTTTATTTTTATTAGCGCATAAAATTATCATTTAAAAGTTTTTGGAATATTTTTTTATGTGACCAATTGTTTACTTACTGTAGCGCCTCATTTTTTCTTAAATAATCGGTTATTACATTATTGCATGCAAAATATTTAAAAATATTAATAGCGTAAAAGTTGCATGGGGTTTATAGTCGAAAACTATGATTTAGGCTTCCTATATGGTACCTTAATGATCGCAAAAAACATCTTACCCAAAGAATTACTGAAGCGCCTCCTTTTTCATAAATAATCGGTTATTACATTTTACATGCAAAATATTTTAAAATATCAATAAAAACCTATTATAATAAGGGGTTTATAGATTTAAGCTCCCTATATGGTACCCTAAGTCTAACTATACCCCAATAATTACAATATTACCCATATAAATCAACTAATTATTTTACTTTTGTACCTCTAATAAAAACATTAAGATATTAATTCCTTGTTTTAAATAATTAAATAAAACCCATTCTTTTGCAGCTTTTAAAAATAACAAAAAAATATTAAATGTTTATTTAGACTTTTTCATGTTCGATTATACCTACCTAAATATATTTTTTCAATGAATAAAAACTGCATAAAAATAATTAAATTTAATTGTTAAAATATAAAATAAATAAAATTAATAAAGTTATTCAACATAAACAATAAATACCTAAAGAGGTTTTTTATTTTTATGAAAAAACTCATAAACAATAAATTTGTTTGTCACGTCAAAAATTATCGTTTTTAATAGGTAATTACCCTTCTTATTTATTTAACATACCTTAAAGATGTGCTTCTTAACGTGCGATAATAATTTGGGGTTGAGGGTGGTGTATTTCCAACTGATTTCTTTTTTGGAAGAACATTACTTGGTGATGTGGCTGATGCATAGTTTAAAGGACCCGCTTGAAACTTTGCATCGTCAAAATTAAGCTGAAATAAATTAAAACATATTACATTTTGTATCTCGTTTCGTTGAAAGATTTGTACATGTTCCACATTAAAGAATAGTTTATTAAAGTTATTTCCCTATATGAACATGTGCCAATAACCATTATAATAAATGGAGCACAATTGTAGTTGTTGGCAAGCAAGTCCCAGTAAATAGTGGTCCTTTAATAAGGTCATATAAAAATATTAAAATAAGCAACAAAAATTAAATGGCACCAAAACCATTTTTTTTTTAAATTTTAATTAAAATGTCATACAAAATATATTTTTATACGTTATTTTTTAGTATTGTAAGTGTAATTTCATAAAAAATATGTATTTTTAGGTTATTTTTAATATTTCAATTGAAAATTGTAGTTTAAAAACCTTCCTAGGGTTTAAACACCCAAAACCCCCTTGTGCCGTGCAGCCTGCGCTAAAGTCACCTTCTTTATCTCTGGTCTAAGTTCTCAGTATTGTGAAGCCTAAACCAATAAATATTTTATTCCTATAAATAAAAATTAGAAATATCAGGATATAGGTACAATACTAAAAACCTTTGAGAAAGAAAGATTTTACGGTAAGTTATTTTAGTTGCTTAGTTTAATGCCGATATAGCAACCTTTGAAATAATCACTGTTGCCAACGTTATTTAGAAAAAACTTAAATGTCAGTGTAAACCAAATTTAAACGGCATTTTGTATGAAAAATGACAAAAATAAGGCCTGTTAACTAATAAAAATGCATACCTGGTAGTTTGGTGTTGCTGGTGGCGTGCACAATCCGCCTGAATTTCCAAAATTCAACAATCCACGCGGAGAATTCAGCCCAAATAAATCGGAAATCGACATCGTTTCACCTGTCGTTCCAGAAGTTATTAATTAAATTAGAGAAATGGCGTTAAACTTACAATATTAAAAACTTCTTAAAATCAGTGTTAAGCGTTTAAAAGTTAAGTCAAAATTGCTCAACTCGTTCGATACGTTCTCGTTAAATTAACTGACAAGAATGAGAAAAAACTGAAGTCTACCAACGCTTTTTACCAGTGTCATTGGACAAAAACAGCCAGCTATGTTTTTTCAAAAAATTCATTGTCTTGAAGACAACAATCAATCTGCGCATTTTAATAATATGTACAGGGTGTCTCAGATTTTAATCGGGAAAATTTAGTCGTCGATAGAACTCGCTAAAATAAGAAGAAAAGTTTATATAAACTTGTTTGTTCTAAAGCTTTGTTTTTGAGATACAGGATGGTTAAGTTATTACAAAAATATTTATTATTTCAAAAATTTAATTTTTTATTGTCAGAATTCAATATAACTCTTTAGATTTTTAGTAATGGATAAGGAGCTTAATTTAATGTAATTAAGTTAAATTTAGTTAATCTAGAGACAGCGCGGGGCATTCCAACTAAATATTTAAAAACAAACTTTGGGTACCTACGCTACTGCTTTTTTATAAGTTTAATATTATTTTAAGAAAAAGTAATTAAAAATACAACTTTTTTGTTTGCTGCATTTTTTCTCTATTTTGTTTAATTTTAAAGAAAAAAAATAAATTCGTTTATCGTTTTATGACCATAGACCTACCTACCTATCTCGAAAACAAAGCTTTAAAGCATTTCTTATTTTTGCAAGTTCTATTGACTATTACGTTTTCCCAATCAAAATCTGAGTATATTAAGTAAATGTCAAATTTTCTAAATGTTAAAAATAAGAAAACTTCTTGTTACATCTTTTTCAGTTAAATAATATTAATTGCAACACAGACCATTGTTAACTAGCCCACAAACTTATTAGATCATAACGTTATTTTGCTTAATTAAGAATTTTAATAAATAAGCAATTAAAAATAAATAAATGCTTTTAAAAAAATAATAATTCGATAATTGATTAGGTTTTAAATAATATTTGTAAGAAAATTATTAAATTAACAATAGCATTATTTAATATTTAAAATAGAATTCTAGGTTGGGATTTACATATTTGTTGTTAATTTTTGCAGTTTTTGCGCCACTGATGATTGGCGGTATTTTAAAAAATATACCTATGTTAGTTAATTTCCAAGGGTCTAAAAAACATATGAAAACTTACCATTGTTGTCTTCAGATAAAATATCGTGTTGGTCAATCAACGAATTAATGGAATGTCTTTGAAGTATATCACTGGACAACATTGGTCTGGGCGAATCACCCATTAAGTTGAGTGGAACCTTCACAAAAAATAATAAATAATAAAACAACCCTTAAAATCAAACTTATAAATCGTACCTAAACGTCTAAACTTATTTAGGTCTAAAGATGTTCAATTCAAATCATCATGTCTAATTATTGGCATTAGAATAAGTGTTTTAATTACAAGATAGGCAGGCAGAGGCATAAGCTACACTGCACAAATTAACAAGAAGAAGCGAACATATAGATCGTTTCATTATAGCGGTTTACTTAACAATATCACGGTCGAGATCATTTTAACAACACTGGGTCCACGCGATATGGTCAGCGCTCTGAGAAAACCTTATTTATTTCCTATGTCAATTTTTAGTTAATTAAATAAAACAATAATGTGTTTTAAAACACATTATTGTTTTATATAATTAACTAAAAATAAATATTTAATTAACTAAAAACAATAATCAACATAGGAACCATGTTGAACTCTAAACTCGGGATAGGTTTGACAGTTTTCAGGATACAAAAAGCGGAAGTTGCCGATATGATAATTTTTGTTTCTTTCATAAAAGCAATTTTTAAGCGTTTTTAATTTAGACTTTAATATCAATAAAATTGGGATTCATCTAATAAAAAGTTACTAAACCTATGAAAAAACTGTCTGCTGCAGGAGGGTACTTTGCGTAACTTAAATTAAAAACACGGGCCAATTGCAAGTCGGACTTCCGTATCCTCGTTGCCACTTGATATTATAAGTATCGTCATAAATGGCGAATGCGCCGGGATAAATAGTATAATTTTTACTTTTTTCATTATTTGTTTGTTTTAGAAATTAAAAATTGACTTCTCAATTTGAGTTTTAAAGTGTAAATTGTGAATGTAATAATTTTAATGTTACGAGAAGAGAAGAGAAAATGAAAAACATGTACAGGGTGATCCCCTATAATGTCGCCCCCTTTAACTTTTTTATTTTAAGTGTCCCAAAAAATGGGGTTATGTAGGTACTAAAAAATACTTTTTTTCTACTTATAAAGAAAATTGGAAAATTGTTCAGTATACAAGTAAAAACAAAAAGTTTATTTTTTTTAATGGACCACCCTTGTAAAATTCTGAGCATAATTTATATAACAAACCATATACCTAAACTCAACCACTTAAAATAAAAAAGTTAAAGGGGCGACATTATAGGGGATCACCCTGTACCTACAATAATTTTATAAAGAATATTAAATTTTGTAACATTATTTTAAAGAAAAAACTATAATTTTTTTAACACAACAATATTTCAATTGTCCCGTTCTGAGTTATTTATATTATTTGTACCTACTCCACCCCAATAGTGACATCACCAATTCAGATTTCATCCGAAAATTTTGATGAATTTTAATTTTGTATAAGTCTAACGTGACGCCACGTAGTTAATTACCCCCTCCCCCTCGTCACACTTCGTCCAAAATCGTCCGACAACACCTCCCTAGAGTGTGAATATGTGAATATTTTAAGAATAACAAAAAAGTGCGTGTAGCTGGAGGGAAAGAGGGAGGGTTTGAAGGGCCGTCACGATTTGTCACGCTCGAGGGGGGTTAAAACGTCACGTGTCAAATTTAATCGAATACAATTTAGTAAGATTATTACAAACATTAATCGGAAAAAATATTTTTAGGGGGTAGGGGAGTTCGATAATATGTCACATAAACCTTCGGGGGTGTTTACATCGTCACATTCTGTCACGAGGGGGGAAGGGTGTCAATTTTGACCATTTTTAACGTCACGAGATTTATGGACGGCCCACAAGTAGTTCTTAAGTTATCAAACAATTAAGGCAATGATGATTCTGTTACCTATTAAAACTCTGACAAGAAAACTCGAAATAATTTTGAACAGCCTTTTCCCCGAAAGTCTTTAAATGTTGATAACGTTACAGTAAATAACCAAGAAGAATTTTTTATAAACTTTCCTCGTTACACATAAATTTAGTAATTTATGTAAGTAATTACGGGCTTCCTACCACTAATTAAAAGAACACCATGAATTTAGGTTTCGACATGATTTAACGTTATTTTGTAAAAACTGAAATCGATTCGTATCTTCTTTAGGGTTATGAAATGAGATCATTCCTGCATCAATTAATTCCATAAAACAAACCCATTGACAAAATAAAATTATTGATATTATAAAAATACAAATTAATTTACAAATAAATTAGCGTCGATAAAAATTAAAATTAGGAAAAAAATAATAAAACTATAAAAAACCAAAGACATTTGACAACATTTGTAGAATAGGTACGCAATTTTTGAAATGAAAGTATAATGTTCTAATAAACATACCTTTTGTAGCGCCGGCATAGTCTTAAACAACAAATTCGCCTCTTAAAAAAATTACATCAGCTGATAACTGAATTTATTCACGATAATTACACTAGCGATCCTTTCTATATCTCTGCGCGATTTGAAATGATTTCCCCAAATTGGCAAAATAAACCGCGTAAATGGGGGAAGGACGCCTTCCCATTGGCCCGTTTTTATTTCTTTTTAATACTCACGTGTTGCCCCGGTCACTTGGATCATCAAAATATTTTGTTTTTTCAACGAATTTGTCGAGGAGAGGTTTTTTGTTGCAAACCAATGTTTTTATGAAACAATTGAAATATTTTTATGATTTAAAATAATAATGCAAATATATTAAATTATTTTTATTATAAATAAATAAATCAAACATAAATATAAATTCATTAATCTTGGACTTTATATAAACAAGTACAATTTCCTCCATCCATTTCAAGAGATAATTTTTTGTATGTAAACGGCCCATTCAAAATTTGATCGATATCTGGTATTTCAGTATTTACTGGGTCATTGGATAGGGGAGCAAATCTAATTCCTGAAAAAAATAACTATATAAATTTTTGATTTAATTTTAAATTAATTATACAATCCTAATTTTAGGAATTACCTAATAATAGGGGTACCTACTTCTAATAAAAATGTAAAAATAGCATCATTAACTTTAAATCCTGATAATTTTAAAAAAATAGATCTTAATTTTAACCCAACTTTAATAGCAAATGGTTAAATATACCTACAGTTAATTTTTTTTATCTGGACTCGTGTTTTTTTGTTAGGTTGGTGGCTTATGCCAGTTTGAATTAGTATTTTTAGTATTTAAAAATGGTACTTCTGCTAAAGAATTTAATTAAATACTTTGACACTGTCAAATTGACAAAAATATTTATTATTGACTATTTCCCTCGTCTTAATTTCCACCAATCACAAACGCGCAATTTTGAATTACAAATGGTTTCTAGGTGAAAAAACTGTGTGCACCTGTCAGCAGTTTATTCGAGTTTACCCGCGGCCACGGTCTTATATACAGGTCTTGCAACTTCGCCCAATTTCAATAGGAAAAGTGACCTCTCTAATGAGACACCCACCAGATGGCGCATCGAGTTGAGGGTGAACCATAGATGTTTAAAGGTCGTTTTTACCTTCTTTATCTTTGGGTTTTACAATCGTTAGATAAGCTCTCTGGTGGATAATTTTCTTAGATAGAAGGTTTCTATGAAAGTTATCCGCCAAATAAGCTAACTTAATCTAACGATTGTAAAACCGGCTCTAAGTCCTTAAAGTCTATGGGATAAAGGTCAAATGAACTACCTACTTATGTTCTGTGAAGAAACATAACCTACATTTTTATAAACAAGCTTTGTTACAGGGAGTTTTTACTTATTGTTATTGTGATATTCGTTATTGTTATATTATATTGTTCTATTTTTTCTTGTTATATTTGTTCTTGTTATACATTTGTATTTGTGCTTTTTAATAGACATGAAGTCCTGTGTTGTGCCAAAATGTAACCAGCAAAGCTATCGTTCCGGCATTAAAATTAAGCGGTCCATGTTTAAAGTGCCAACAAATAAGGAGCGGTTAAAAACATGGCAATGTGCAATAAAAAACAATATGTTTTTTATATTATTACACATTTTGTATGATTATTATTAAGCACATCATGTTGGTGAAATATATAATAAACAATCAACCCATCCCCGCCAAGACAATAAAAAAATCGGTTATTAATAAATTAGCCAGTTAGTTTGTAAACTATCTAAAGCTTGGCTATGTTGTGTTACTAGAAATTTGGGTTTTCATATTAGCCAAATTGAATTGGATAGTTTACAAATTATCCAGCTATTCCTAAATAATTTCAAGTAAATTAGCCAAGACCCTTGGTTTACAAACTAGCCGCTAATTTAGTTAAAAATACGTTTTCAATTAAAATAGCTGACAGTTTGGCTAGTTTATAAACTACCCAGCTACTTTATAAACTATCCATATTTACACATTTGCCGTAACATATAATATATATGATATACGTATGTATTTTATACATTAACATGTTTTTCTTACATGTTTGGTCTGGGCATGTGACGGCCGAGGACTTTGTGCATAGAGTATAGACTTTGTTGTCCTATTTTGTTAACGTAAATTATCCGAAACAAACTCACAAATATTAAATTTTTGAAAATGTAAACAAAACATAGAAAAAGAATTTAAAAAGTTAGGTTATGGTTATGCAGTAGTTCCACATTTAACTAAGTAGTAGTTTAATTGACTTTACCCCTTCGATCTTAGCGCCACCTAGCGGCTTGGCACGTTAAGGAAGCCACCACGAAGCTTAAAGTTGCAAGACCTGTATATAAGACCGTGCCCGCGGCAAAACTTGACAGCTGTTGTCACCAAAAATTGCAATTTATATTTTAATTGTTAACTGTTACTCATGAAATAGTCTTGTCAAATACCATTCGGGCATCTAATTTTTCCTGTGAAAAAAATCGAAAAAACACAATGCTAAGTAATATTTTTCAACAAAATGCATTCGTGCAGGTGCAAAAATCCTCCTCTTCGACTCGGATTTTTGTTGCCACCAGCACTCATGCTTTTTGTTAAAATATTACTTAGCAACGTGTTTTTTCGATTCTTTTCGGAAAAATTAAATGCCCTTATGATATTACTTACGATAATTTGTTTCTTACATGAAAACGTCGTAGTTGAATGGCATTTAAGTCACTTTGATAACGGATAAAAGGGAAGGTAACTTTTGCAAGTGGATAGGTAATTATTTATTTACCTCGTGTCATTTCATTTCCTTGACAACCTTGCAAATAAATATTTTTTAATAGCAGGTGTCAAAAAATCTTTTAAAATTAATCGAATGAAAACAATAAAGAACAAATTGTAAAAAGTATCCCAAATAATTCTTTAATAATAAAGCGTCAATTTGGCGACAATATATGGCATTTTGTAATGCGAGGAATTACAAACTACTCGACTCAATATCACAGCAAGATTTAGCAAATATTTTGCTTGATTGGGCATGCAATATGAAAAAAATTAATCACAAAATTATCTCGTCGAATTACACTCAAGCTTTTTTTCTGGCAGGATAAATTTATGTTTCTAACTTTCAAACTTGTTACCTTTTAGCAATTTGACTCGAAAAAATGTCATCTGACAAAATCGCTCGACCTACGGTCTCGCAATTTTGATTGATGACATTTTTTCTTGTCAAATTGCTAGGTAACAAGCTTTTAAGGAAAACAAAAATTTATCCGGCTAAAAATAAGCTCTTGTGTAATTATAATCGATAATTTACTTGTCAATTATAAATAAAAAGATAATTATGCCAAAAATAATAGCCACAAATTCGAATGTAAAAGCCCTTTTGACGGCAAAACTTCATTTTTATGAAATTATTCCAAATGCCACAATGGAAGAAAAAGTACATCGTCTTATGGACATTTTTAGAGTAAAAAAGTAACGAATTTGGTTTTATAAATATTACATCACACATTATTTTCAGCTAAGCAGATCAAAAATGTTCTTATTTGCTTTAACAAAATACCTACCTATTCACCATTGGACAATATTTACGTTCACAAAAAATTTAATTTTTTTTTATAAAAATTCTTTTCAAAGCTAAGATTATTATCCGCTAGGAATACTTTCTCTTCTGGGCCGTAAAGCAACCTATATTTAACTACTTTTTTATATGATTTTACTCATCCAAGCACCACCAAAGCCAAATTAATTGCATTTTTAACACAATTAGATTTATAACTAGCTTGGTTTGTTTTAATCAACGCGACCAATTTTGGTTCTTTATTTACCAACCAAAACCCTAATCCAACCCAACCCAGGGGCGGCGGACCCGGGCCTCCAAAGCATAAGGGCCCCGGGAATTTGCCCCGTCTGTCCCCCTCTCGTGGCTCTGACCTAACCAACCCAACCCAACCAACCGTGTGACGTCATGTGCAAACCAAAACTGCGGCGGGTATAGTTGTCGCGGCGAATGTTTGAAATTGCGTCATCAAATTCTGAACCAAGCATAGATATTACAATTATTTTTGTTTTCTTTTAAGTATATAATCCAAGGAACCGCTAGGTTAACCGTATGTCGAGAAATCGGTTTTTGACATTCGACATTGATGTCGCAATTTGAAACTTTCGTCGCGACGACTATAACTGGGTTGAAATGTTATTTGCAATGCAAATTCACGTTATATTCGAATATTTATAAATGTAGGGACGCCGTGCAATTATTACCTAAGTGTAACAAATGTTAAGAAAAAGTTAAATTGTCAGCAAGCGCTTTTAATACTAATCATAGATAATAAATCATACTAATGTAACATATTTTAAGCAACAATTGAGGCGTTTCTCGGAAAAACATCATTAGTCCAATATCGTCGAAATTTAGATATTAGCACCAACTGTTTCCTAACCTCCATATATATACGTATACAAATAAGTGTTTCTCGTAAAAATGTCATAGGTTCCATAATAATTAAATATGATATTTAGCTTGTTCTTCTAAAAACATCACAAGTCCACTCCGTTTCGTCTAAGAAAGTCACATGTGCATAACATGTGACGTTTTTGGACACTCTAGAAAAGCTTCTACCTCTTTTACATGACCACAGCAATAGAAAATTTTATGATAACTTGATAAAAGACCAGAAGACCATAGCACCTGACAGTCCTGATAACACGGTCGACAACGATGATAACAGCAGTGGATGCGAATAATGAGTGTGGCAATAATTCAGTTTTTAGTTTTCTCATTTATTTTGTTGCTCAGAGTTAATATTTAGTTTGTAGTGTTTGTAGTAAGGAGAATTGTTCGTTTTTTTTTCTTCTAAAAACCTCACATGTTCATGTATTTTTTGTGTTTTTTTCATATTCGTTTGAAAAAAAACATGAGGAATTCTGGACAAAGTATCTTACATTTTTTTACATGTAGTAAATAGGTCAATAAAGTACTTTGGTCAAAAATGGGAATGTCGGAGAGTTTTTTTCATTTTCCCAAATATGTTAATTTTGGACTAATGATGTTTTTCCGAGAAACGCGTCAATTAATTTCGTATTATAATTTTTCAAAATATTTTTTATTTAATTGAATTAACTAAACTTACGTTAGACCGATTTTAAAATTTTTTTAATGTGAAAGGTAACAAAATTATAAAAATGCCTTTATACAGGTACGGCCGCTTTAAAGAGT